ATAAATTTAAACCTAAGACCCAATCTAATTTTTTGTTATTTTTTAAATACACTACCTACAGAATACTCCATTCTACTGAATGTACAGCAATGCATGCAACCATATGACCTGTCTTTGTAATACTCATTTGTGCTTTAATGTTATCTGTTTACAATAATGTTTTATCACTGATTACATCATTGCTTAGTTAATCTTAAGTTAATTTTAAGCCAGCCCATAATGCTATGCATACAAGTGGCTTTGGCATGCTGCTCTTACCTGTATTTTTTTGTACCTCTGTATGTATGTTCAAATTATTAAATAAATAAATAAATAAATAAATAAATAAATGAATAAATAAATAATTAGAGATGATGTATTTATATATAACACAAGGAAAATTCAGACTATAAAAGTAATTACCATTCTGCACGTTTTCACTTATGCAAAACTCACCGGAAAGGAACCCTGCACCAGCACAGGAAATGCCTGCTAATATCATAGAGAGTGTCAATGACCCTTTCCTTCCCCACAGACTCATACTCATCCATGCCAATGTATATCCTGAAATAAAAGAAAGACATGTCATTAAGTGTTCGCATTTATGGTACAGTACATAGATTTAACCCTTTCAGGGTCCAAGGCCCAAATCTGGAGTCACGTACCAGTGTCCAAGAATTTAAAAAAAAAAAATTTGTTATTTTTTCTTATGAAATCGTAGAGAATCTTTTTGTGAAGGTAATAAAACAAAAAGTACGAAATTTGGTGGAAAATTGACGAAATTATGCTCTCGCGAATTTTGATGTGTCAGCGATATTTATGAATCGGCGATTTTGCCGACTTTGACTCCCATTTTAGGCCAATTACATTATTCCAATCAACCAAATTTCTTAGCTATTTCACTAGTATTACTTCTATTCAAATCGATTGAGCACAAGAAATCGCCAAGTCAACTGTTTCAACTACAAAATAAAGTGATCGAAATTGTTAATTTGGCCAATTTAGCACAAAGTTCAAAATATTCCAATTTCAAAATAGGGCCGAGAATGAACAATGTAGGCATTCCTGGCACTAAACTAACATTTCCTCTGTTCATTAGTTATGTTTTGAGGCTTTACAAATAAATTCCATTTTGATTTTTTATTCACATAATGAATTTTTATTCACACCAAAAAATAGAAGATTTACTGTTATGCAATACTGTAATAATTGTATAAATATCATCACCATATTTGTGAATGTATATTAGACCCACCAGCTGACGTGTATTAAACGTGTGAGGTCGTTTGTTTACTCTTGAATATCGGCAAAAATTTAACATTTCCACTACTTTGAGCTCAGTTTCACGCCATTTCCAATGCTAAAACCAATCAAAATCATCTCTATTTCTGTAATATGTCTTCCATTCTATCAAATGAGACCAAGAAATCGCAAATACAACTATAAAAAACATACGAAAAAACACTGCAAAGTTGCTGTTTTAATCGAAAAATCATGATTTCATTTTTTTCTCTCATTATACACAGTGTGCTGCAGGATCTGTTTTATGTGGTGCACACATACCACATAGATGTATTCTCTCATATCTAGGCCCAAATGTACCACTCACAGTTTATCAGAGTGAGCTGAGCTCATGGCGTAGATCTACGGTTTGGACCCTGAACGTAAAGCCGTAGATCTACGGGACGGACCCTGAAAGGGTTAACAATGGACCTCGGAAGTCTCAAATACAACACTCATATTATTATCCCACACCTTTCTCTAACACCCTAGCATTCACTTCTTTTACAACCCATCTGTAAAAATGTTAAAACAACCATGGTGACTTCAAACATCCCTGTCTAAGGTCTACTATTGTATTCCAGTAAAAGAGGGCCCTTAGACAGCAATGTCTCACATCACCATGGTTTTTAACATGTCCTAAACTGTGCCTAGCTATTTATATAAAAGATCTTTACTGCTTTAAGTAACCTACAACCTATTCCATACATTTATAACATCTGCCACACTGCACCCCTATCCACCCTATCATATCATATTCCCTTTCTAAATCCATAAATGCAATGCAACGTTCCTTAACTTTATCTAAGTATTCTTTTATGTGCTTCCAAGTAAACACTTGGTCTAAACCACATGCACCATCCTTCCTAAAACTACTTTTCCTCCTCTGCAATCCTACTCTGTCTTCCCAGTACTTCCTCCAGTAACAAATCAACCATATGCTTTACCTGTATACTTAAAAGGGCTAAATTCCCAATAATTCTTACACATCTTATATTATTCTCTTTTCCTTACACAAAAGAACTATGCATGCTCTCTGCCAATCTCTAGGTAACCTCCCCCCCTTTCACACATATATCGAACAATACACCATCACTTCAAACTATATCCCACCACTGCTTTTAACATTTGCTGAATTAATAACCATCTACCTTTAACGCAACTTCCCATAGACTCACATCTGGTTCTTCCTCATCCTACAAGGTGTCATATCTCCCTAGCCCAATGAAAAAAAATACACCTCTTGTTTCTCTTACATCAACATTCAACAGTTCCTCAAAATATCTCTCCAACTTCCCATTACCTCCATCTACTGGCTCCCCTCATTTGTGTTTTAACTGTTAAAACCATTTGTTCCCTATGCTTCTCTCAACTTACTGTTCTCTCTTCCAAAACTTTTCTCTTCAAAAATTTGTTGACAAAACCTCTCCCACGACTCTCATTAACTCTCCTTACCACACTTTTAAATTAACCTCTCTCTTTTTACTCTCCATATACTCCTACATCTTAATCACTCTACATTGTAAAACCTTTTATAAGCAAACTTTTTCTTCCTTACCACCCACTGTATCCTTGTACAGCACCAGTGCAGTCCACTTCCCTCATACACCCACTTATAACCCACACACTTCCTGCTGAACACACTAATACACATTCTTAAATCACCCCATGCCTTCCTCTATCCCTCCTCATAACTTGCATCACCTTCTCATACCCCACCTTACTCCAAAGAGTTTGCTTATAATTTTTGCTCTATCTCCTTATTATAAACGTTATCACTTTTCTCATACTCTGCTGATGACATTCTCTTTGTATCCTGGTCTTTCCTCTGTCAAACCTCTAAAAACATGCACATCTATCCAGAAAGTCTCCACACAACATCTATCTACTAATAACATGTTTGACCCTTGAACACACTAATACACCACAGACAACATGCTAAATACTGCCCAGAACCACATACTCAATCTGTATTCCCATATCACAAATTCAAACAATTAACATATGAACCGTTATCCATGTCCGACAGGAAATAACAGTCTGAAGATCTGTGATGGAGTGTGATGCATGGTAAAATTTGCGAAGGGATTTCAGAGAAACCGTTTTAATTTTGTATGCGCTGACTTGAGTCCTGGAAATGGGAAATACAATGCAGCCCTCAAAAGGAGGGGGTTCGGATATTAGCCGTTTGGAAGGAAATATTTGTGTATCTTTATACGTATATGCTTCTAAACTACTGTGATCTGAGCAACCTCTGCAAAAAACAGTGATTATGTGTGATTGAGGTGAAAGTGTTGAAAAAGATGAACGATTTTCTTCTTTTGGGGATTTTCTTTCTTTTTTGGGGGTCCACCCCTGCCTCGGTGGGAGACGGCCGACTTGTTTAAAAAAAAAAAAAAAAAAATATGTCTTTGTATAAATTAGATTCACGTTACAATTTAATAACCTGAGCAGTACAACTATGATATAATTTAATATTCTAACTGTACAACAGATTATATAATTCTTAGTGGTTAAGTAATCAGTAAGCCAATAATGTTACGTCGGGGCCCATAATGCTAGACAAAAGAGAGGCTCTCTTTGCACTGCAACTCTTTATGAAAAATACATTATCTCAATGTATATTTGCAAAGACCTAAAAAAAATAAAAAATAAATAAATAAATAAACACGGATAGACGCTACAACTGGGTCCACTTATCAAGGATTTTTTAACCCTTATCAGGGTCCACAGGGGCCCCTCTCAGGACTTGTTCTCAGGGTCCCCCAAATTTTCAAAAAAAAAAAAATAGTTTTTTTCTAAGAAAACGATATCTATTCTTGATCATAATGACAGCAAAAGTATGTAAATTGATGGAAACTTACGGAATTATGCTCTCATGAAGTTAGCGGTCTCGACGATGTATATGCTCGCAGACTTTTGGGGCCCACTTTGAGCCCTATTTTCGGGCGGCCAATTCCAATGTACTAGTCCGACCAAAATCATAACTAGTTTGCTAGAAACTCTTCCATTTTTTTCGCTATCGAATGAGTACAAGAAAACACCAATTTACCAATTTCAAACTATCACATACAGTGTCCAGAATTCAGCAATTTTGCCAATTTCCACAAATTTCAAAAGGTGTCAATTTCAAATAGGTCCAGGAAAAAATTTTAAACAAGAAAGACATTCCGGCACTAAAATAACATTTCCTTCTGTTTTCATTAGTCACGTCCCCCATGCCCCTCTTACATTTTTTTTGAGTTCACTTTGAATATATATCTCACAAAAAAAATAAGATTTACTGTTATGGCAGACAACTGCATAGTGTAAGATATGTGGTATAAATCAATATCAGCGCACTTGTGAAAGATAACAGACCACCGTTGACGGTATTGGACGCTTCGCATGATTTGATTACTTTTGAAACTTTGGTAAAAAATCAAACATTTTCTGCTATTTGAGCTCAATTTCAAGTACTTTCATGTAAAACCAGTCAAAATCATTTTCAATTTCTTAATATACTTCCATTCCATAGAGTGAGACTAGGGAAACTAGACTACAACAATAAAAACCATACGAAATATAGGGAAAGTAGCTGATATTAATCCAAAAACACACGGTCAAAGTTTTTTTTTTTTCTCATACGCACTGTGTGCAGCAGTGATGTTTTATATACTGTGTCACCTGACCACATAGACCCTTCTTTCAAATGTAGGCCTACCAGCTTACTCTCACTAGATTGCAGGCGCTAGAATTTATGCGAACTGTACTCATGGACACTGGAGGCTAAGCCGTACTAGTACGGCCGAAACCCTGAAAGGGTTAATAAACATAAGGGAAATTGTTTTTGGGAGATTTGTGGCTGAAAAAAATTAAGAAAAAGTTAAATATGTCATGAATGCATAAAAAATATGTAGATACTAGCCTATTTTATCATTTACTTCCAAAAAATACACAAATCTACTATAAAAACTTAAAATTGATAACTTACACAAACACAGAACATACATGTTCCAATTGCAGTTGAGAGAAATGTTAACAAACATGGCTGATGTGTTGAAAAAAAATTATTTTATTATTACAGATCATACATGTTCCATTTGTCTTTGCAGAGGTGCCCAGATACAACAGTTTAGATGTCACTCCCAAACAGACAACATCCCAAACCCCTCCTTTTAAGTTCAGGCATTGTACTTCCCACTTCCAGGACTCAAGTCCAGCTAGCCAGTTTCCCTGAATCCCTTCACAAAATATTACCCGTGGAGAGCGTATAAATCTTAGGAAAGGAAGGCAGGGTAGAG